TCATCCATTTTTCCAGTCAAGGCACCCTTTAAAATTGTGCACCCCATTCTAAAATGTAAAAAAACAAAGTAATTGTTTTACGTTTTTGTAGCAGCATCTACAGTGAAGTAAATAAGTATTTGATCCCCTGCTGGTTTTGAATGTTTGCCCACTCACAAAGAAATGATCAGTCTAAAAAATTGAATGGTAGGTGTATTGTAATACTGAGAGACAGAATAGCAACAAAAAATTAAAAAAAAATGCAGGTCTAAGAAATTATGCACTGATTTGCATGTTCATGCAAATTAGGGAAATAAGTATTTGATCTATCATTCAGCAGGAGTTCTGGCTACCAGGTGTCTTTCATACAGGTAACAAGCTGAGATTAGAAGAAGTCTCTTAAAAAGAGTGCTGCTAATCTCATTTTGTTACCTGTATAAAAGACACCTGTCCACAGGAGCAATCAAACAGATTCCAAACTCTCCACCATGGCAAAGAGCTGTCCAAGGATGTCAGGGACAAGATTGTAGATCTACACAAGGCTTGACTGGGCTACCAAACTATCGCCAAGCAGCTTGGCGAGAAGGTGGCAACAGTTGGTGCAATCATTCGCAAATGGAAGAAACAGAAAACTGTCAGTCTCCCTAGGTCTGGTGCACCATGAAAGATCTCACCTCGTGATCATGAGAACAGTAAGGAATCATCCCAGAACCACACATGAGGATCTTGTCAATGATCTTCAGGCAGCTGGGACCACAGTCACCAAGAAAGCAATTGGTAACACACTATGCCAACAAAGATTGAAATCCTTCAGTGCCCACAAGGTCCTTCTGCTCAAGAAAGCACATGTCCAGACCCGTCTGAAGTTTGCCACTGAACTGAATAATGCGGAGGAGGACTGGTTGAAAGTGCTGTGGTCAGATGAGACCAAAATCAAGCTTTTTGGCATCAACTCAACTCGCCGTGTTTGGAGGAGAAGAAATGCTGTCTATGACCCCAAGAACACCATCCCAACTGTCAAACATGGTGGTGGAAACATTCTGCTTTAGGGGTGTTTTTCTCCTAAGGGGACAGGACATCTGCCCTGCATCAAAGGGACGATGAACGGGGCAATGTACTGTCAAATCTTGGGTGAGAACCTTCTTCCCTCAGCCAGGGCATTGAAAATGGGTCGTGGATGGGTGTTCCTACATGACAATAACCCATAACACACGGCCAAGGCAACAAAGGAGTGGCTCAAGAAGACTCGCATTAAGTGCTGGAGTGGCCTAGCCAGTCTCCAGACCTTAATCCGATTTGGCAACTTGAACTTTCAGCTACCTCCACAGATTTTCAAACGTCAGCCACCAAACCTTTATGATTTGGAGTGGATCTGCCAAGAGTGCGCCAAAATCCCTCCTGAGATGTGTGCAAACCTAGTGGCCAACTACAGGAAACGTCTGACCTCTGTGATTGCCAACAAGGGATTTGCCACCAAGTACTAAGTCCTGTTTTGTGAAGGGGATCAAATACTTATTTCTTTCATGAACATGCAAATCAGTGCATAATTTGTTAGACATGCATTTCTTTTGAATTTTTTGTTGCTATTCTGTCTGTGTTACAAATCACCTACCATTCGATTTTTTCGATTCGACTGATCACTTCTTTGTGAGTGGGCAAACGTTCAAAATCAGCAGGGGATCAAATACTTATTTCCTTCACTGTATACACGTAAGGCACCCAACATTGGAGGTGATTTATTATTTCATAGCAAACACACTTTTGCACACTGGTACTGACTATTCTTTCTAGTATTTTTTCCTTTCTTTTTTTTTCTCCATTTTCTTTCTCCTGCATAGCTAACATGGCCCCAGTTCTGACAGAGAGGGGTGGGGGGTCAAACAAGTAATGATACCAGGTGCTGTTAGGAAACTGGCGGCTGGCCTGCACAGTACCCACTATTGTACAATGAAAACCTGTGGCTTTGTGTAACAAAAAATCAGGCTTGATCCACCCATTGGCTTATACAAAATTTTTGGACAATTTTTAGGCATTTTGCCAAGTCGTTACCCCCCCACACGCATCCCCCCCACACGCACATCCCCCCCACACGCACCCCCCCCCCACACGCACATCCCCCCCACACGCACCCCCCCACACGCATCCCCCCCATACACACACATACCACCACCACCACAAACCCCCACACACACCCCCACACGCACACCACCACCCCATTCCCCCCACGCACCCCCCCCCCCACCCCCCCCCCACACACCCCCCCCCCACCCCACCCACACCCCCCCCCCCCCCACCACCCCACCCACCCACACACCCCCCCCCCCCCCCCACCCCACCCCACCCACACACACACACCCCCCCCCCCCCCACACACACACACACACACACACACACACACACACACACACACACACCACCCCCCCCCCCCACACACACACACACACACACACCACCCCCCCCCACACACACACACACACACACACCCCCCCCCCCCCCCCCCACACACACACACACACACACACACACACACACACACACACACCACCCCCCCCTACCACACCATCCACCTTCATCAAGCATTTTACTGGGAGTAAGAGCACTAGTTTACCCCAGCAAAAAAAAAAAGCCTAAGAGTTACCTTTCCTCAGGGGCTGAAGCCTGGGAGAAATGAAAGGAACTCTTCTTTACCTCAAAGGCCAAAACCACACAAGGAGCTCCGTTTTACTGCGAACACTGGGAGCATATATCCCTCAGCCCTCCGACCAATGCTCATCGGCATGAAAGGATGCCCTCGCTTTCCAAAGCAAAGGGATGTCTGTTAGGGTTGGTGGATATTTATACAGACCTCATCTCTGATGCCTGGGTATGGAGGGTTGTCCCAACAATCTGCAAACTAGAATTCGGTTCCCAAATCCCCTCCTCACTTCTCATCTTCCAAAAAAAGAGAGTTGTCACCACTCAGATTAGCAGACGTTCGTATAGCTCTTATGGAGCAAGGAGATTTTCTCCAGTTTCCTTTATTGGAAAGGTTTCAAATATTCTATTCCAGCTTTTGCATAGTTTCAAATCCAAAAGGGTTATCTACTTCATAATGAAGCTCAAGGCCCTCGAATGTTTGTCCCAAAAGTTCCTTATGGAGCAGATTTGTCTTAGCCTCCCTTCTTCACTTGGCTTCTGTAGACAAGGATGTGTACTTGCATTTTCCTATTTTTCCAACACATCAGCAGTTTTTGTTTTTGATGTTGGTCCTTAAAACTTCTGGTGTTTGCCCTGTAAACTGGTGTCTATCTGACCCTATGTCTTTACCAGGGTTCTGGCACCTGTGCTTGACTTTTGAACCCAGGGCATCTCCATAGTGAGAAATGTGAATATCCTCCTTTTGACAGAACAGCTGGCAGAGGTCCTGACCAAAAATGTAGTGTGAATGATTCAGACCATGAAAAAATTTTTTGGGATCTGGAACCATTCAAATTTTGTTGTGGCCAAGTAATCGGTTCTGATCCTGGATGCTGCCTCAAGCCAGAGTTGTTGTTCAACATGAAAAATGTCCAACTCCCTGCTCCCACACTTGGACTCCACAGTCCAAAAATTGACTACTGTTCTCTTTTGCATGAGAGCTGCAGAGACTCTAGAACTAAACATCCTTTCATATTGTGGGGCAAATTCATTCGTTCTCTGAACAAACCTATTCTCCTGACAAAGATCAGGTTGCCTTTGGCCTAGTAGCTCAGGAATCCAGCTCTGGATTTGGGGAAAACCTTCCTTCCAATTTCTTAAGAGCCCATGCACAGTGGGCTTAAAAAAAAAAAAAAAAAAAAAGCCAGCTCTCTTATAGAGCTTTTCTTGTACTGGTGTTTGAGAGTTAAGGACCATTTTAGTTTTTTTTTTTTTTTTTTTTTTTTTTTTTTTTTTTTGTGCCTCAAAAATGCAAACCAGATTAGCTTTTTTTTATGGCTCTAAACATCCTAATGTGCATGGACACATAGGATAACCTTGAGCTGCTTCTACAGGCAAAATTCCTGTAGAAGCAGTGTTTTTTGTTTTCTTTTTGTTTTCTTTTTTTAAAAGCCCACTGTGTATGAACCCAAAAGATCATCACAATGGACGCCAGCCCGATAGGAGTCCTAGACATATCAGTGCAAGCGACTTGGTTACTGGAGGAATCTTAACTTCGATTCACTTTCTGAATTTCAAGTGATATTGTTGTGTCTAGAACATGTCACATTTGGACTAGATGGTGGTCTGACTGAGATCCAGTAGGACAGTACCACGATCATGCTGTACACCCATAATCTGTGAGGAACTAGAAGTCTTGCTGCAGCGACAGAAATAGACAGGGCCTTGTCCTGGGCAGAACTTTACGTTCCAGCCTTGTCCTCAGTTAACATACCAGGCATCGACAACTGGCAGGTAAACTACCTCATCCCAGAACGTCTGATCCTGAGTGGAAAGTCCCTACACCTAGTAGTTTTCTACAGATGGGGGGATGCTGTGGACCTCCTGGCCTCTAGATTAAACTGGACTGTTTTTTTTTTTTTTTTTTTTTTTTTTTTCCCCAGAGATCCCTTTGTTGGAAGCAAGGGGTTCTTTAGTGGCTTTGTGGGATTAGTACAACCTAATCTACACCTTCTTCCCCTGCTTCTCAGGATTGAGATGGAGGGTATTTTTGTGATGTTTTATAGCTCCTAACTGGCCATCGTCATCCTCATAGCTCTGAACTGGTGGATGTGGTATTATAACCCAATCAGACTCTGTGGGCTCTTCCAATCTGACTGGATCTTCTGTCCCAAAGACTAGTTTATTTTCCTGCTTCACAGTCATTGGTATTTAATGTCTTTCTTATTGATGCCCAGGTTTTGCATTAAAGCCACATTAATGTATTTGTTGAGCGCCTATTGTGTAGATGGGTTCATGGATGTTTCCCGTCACCTCTCCTATGTGAGGCTCTGATTAGGGAATATGCAAAGAACTCTGGTTGAAATGTTTGTTTACTGGGCAAGCATATAAAAGGCATTTGCTCCTCATGCCCTCCAAAGGTAAATGTTTCTTCAGAGCTGCCTTGGACACCCTCATCAAGCATTTTAGGAGTACTCGTTTACCCCATCAAAAGAAGCCTTGGTCTCAAGCTAAGAAATGCCCTTCCTCAGAGGCTGCTTCAGTCATTGGTGATCTCATGATGTTGAAAGCCTGGAAGTGCACTTCATGCAAGGTCTGCCATCGCATATTGAAAGCATACATTTTTTTTTAGTGTAAGGATCTTTTGTCCCAGAAAATGCTCAGTGGGAAAAATCCTGCCTCCCCCCCCCCCCCCCCCAGTACCATTAGGGTCAGTTTTCATTTCTTGTGATCTTGTTTCGAAGACTACTAGCCACTCCCTCTTTAAGAACTTTGTACTGGGTGTTTTTCATGTCCGTAATCCCACCAGTGTCGGGAATTTGCATCTGGTTCTCTGCACTTCTATAACTGCTCTTTGAAACTTTTAAGAACATTTCCTTTCACACACACAAGATTGCGTTCCTTGTCATCCCCACTGTGGGACGTGTCTCTGAACTGGCGGCTTTATCCTGTTAAGATTTGAGTCCACTGTTCTTCAGTGAACGAATGAGAAATTTGGATTTTTGTACTCATTGTAAAATCCTTTTCTTGGCGTTCATTGACATTCACAGGTCCCGTCCCCATTTATGGCCTTGATCTCTCTACGTTTTTTTTTTTTTTGTTTTGTTTTGTTTTTTTTTTGTTTGGTTTTTTTTTTTTTAGCTTTCTCTAAATCCTACTGTAGTCAGAAGTGTAACCAATTGTCTCAATCTACCTGTCTACCTCAATGAACGCCAAGAAAACAATTTTGTGTGAGTACAAATAAATCCAATTTTACACAAACCGTTACAGCTATTGGACCTTTGGAACAGATTTACTTGAGAGGCTTGTCCAACAAAGAGTTTGTTCTTTTTTTTTTTTTGTTCCAGATACCAAACTACTATAAAATAATTAAGAAGCCAATGGACCTATCCACAGTGAAAAAGAAGCTACAGAAGAAACATTCTCAACACTACCAGACACCAGAAGACTTTGTAGCAGACGTCAGGCTAATATTTAAGAATTGTGAAAGGTTTAATGAAGTATGTTTGCTTTCATCACTTACTATATATATATATATGTATATTTTATATTTCATATGTAGGCTGAATACAGTGCATGTGCAGTTTGATTTTGTTCAACAAAATAGTTCATCTTTAACATTTTATCTTTACTGATACTTTTCCATATTTTTGCAGTTTGGTTTTTACATAAATGGCCCCCTAAATTTCCTATATTCCAGCAAGGCCCTCCACCACAAAAAAAACCTGAAAGTCCCAAAAAATTTGTTCTGTTGATTACAATATCTCACTCTATCATGTTTGGGTTTTGGTCTGTTCCTCTTATTACTAGATCTTTGGAAAAGTGGACTTGTTTGTGAATCACAGATGGTTTTTACCACTAGTTCATTGGCTGCTTTTAAGAAAATTAGCACACCTCAGAGTACAGGGGGTGTACAAAGTAATGAAAAGATCTAACATTTATATTTGCAATAATTTAAGGAAGAGAGCCATCGTTTGCCCTTTTAACAGCTGGATTTCTCCTTACAATGCTCTGCTACAAGTCCTAAATTGTTTGTAGAGGTATTTTTCACCATTGATTTAATCCCTGTGTTCATAAACGCGTACTAAAATTTTATTGGCACGGTCTATGGTGGCATGACCATCCTGGAATATGGGAACTTCCTGAGGGAACAATGTTGGCACCATAAGGTGCACATGGTCATGTAAGATGGCTTTACATACTTTTGCCACACTATTAAATGCCTGTATTACAGATCTGCCACCATAATCACTTTTTGGAGCTGGCCACAAACACATTTAAACACATTGGTTTAACAGCAGTGTCTGTGCTTCTGAAAAATTAAAGTGCACCTGTGCCTTAACTCTGAACCTGTATTTATAGTCTTAATACACAGTTGCGGCAAAAGTTAGCTTTAACCTCTGGTTCACACTAATGTGATTTGGCGGTTCAAATGGCATGACTGGTTGCACCCCATTTACAGCAATAGAACCGTTCAAATTGTTGCGACTATGGAAAAGGTTCCTGTGCTACTTTTCGTTTATTTCATTGCGGCTTGCATGGACTTCCGTTAAATGAAGTTGCAAGCCACAATGAAATTGAAAATTCAAATCACACTGATCTGTGGTTTTGAAATTGCACTGAAGTATTTGAACCAGGGCTAAAACAAACTCTTCTTCTTTGACCTTGGTTGCTGCTTGTACTGTGGAGTAATAAATCCTCAAAGATCACAATTGAGCCCCTGTAGTTGGATTGCATTTGGTTTCCAACAGCTTACATCACCTGCTGTTTTTTATTATATATTTAAAGACTAATAGGTTAGCAATTTTCTGTTGCTACAGAAGGGAAAAGGAGCTGTGACTTCAGTGCAGTTTGAATATGCTTTTTTTTTTTCATCCTTCCTGCAGGTACAGAAGTTAGGGATGTCTTGTTTAAAGTGGTTTTACACCCTCACATATACCCAGTGAAGTGACTAGCCACAGGTGATGGAGATGAAATACATCCTCCTCCTTAAGTTGTATCTGTTTTTTTTTTTTTGCCGCAGTCTCTTCTCTGCATTGTTTAAAGTCCAGAATGTACACAGCTTTTCAAAGCTGAAGGTAATCTGAGACCTGAATGGAGAAAAGGGATTCCCTCCCCACCCAAATATACACACCCAAGGCTAGCAAGAACAGGCCGTGTGCTTTAGCTCCCCTCCCCTGTTGTCCTCCATGCCTTATAGCCAGCACAGACTGTCAGAATTGACTAGAAATTTTGAAGGGCACACTGGTATATGCCCTTTCAAGCAGACTTTGCAATAAATAGGGATATTTGGTTCATACATATTGCAATATATGTTTAAATGCATATACTAGTGGGATTTGAGCACAGGTATATCTTGTTTGTCAGAAATGACTCACACAAATAGCATAGAGAAATCACACTCTGTGCTTTGGATTGAGGCAAGTACATCCTATAGAAGGATATGCTTTAACCACTTTAAAGTGGTAGTAAAGTCTCTATTTTTTACGTTTTACCAGAGGTAAGCTTAATATCAGGCTTACCTGTAAGTACAATGAATACCGTTTAAGAGATATTGACATTGGCAATAGCTGTTGATATCACTCGCGCATTTGCAGTGACGCTCTGCATTAATGGCATTCGGTATGCTGTAAAAATGTGGATCCTGGAGTGAAGATAGAAGTGCCAAGGAGCCGTGACAGCACTGCGCTGGAGGGCTCTGTGTGCAGGTAAGTCTGTCATAATGTGCTAATATGTGGTGCATACTAGTGCATCACTTAGACCTGGAGGTGGCCCAAATTTTTTTCTATTTTTGTGATGTTTTACTACCGCTGTAAAGCTGTTGTTTAAGAATCGTAAATACCTTAATGTCCATAGTCTTGGCACATGTGCTCTCTAAACCTGTTTGTCTCCTGGAACCAGTTATTTTTTTCCAGTTACACTTTTTCATTACTCAGGGATATATGTAGCTGGTTGTCCTTTGCCATTTAAATCTATATGTTTATTGAAAATACCTAAAGTATATGATATTTAATTTGCCATGCACTGTATATTATAAACTATTTGTCTTTCAACAAATAGTTTTTTTAATATAGTTTTCACTGCTTTGTCCTTTTTGCTGCATATCACTGCACTGTTGATTTCCCGCAGCCACATCATGTCTACATGCATGCAGCGCAGCAACTTTTGCACATCATCTCTCAGGGTGGGTTTTCTGATGGTAACAGGTGAGCATGCCATGCGATTTAGCCTGGCTCACTATAACCACTCATCTGAGCAGCTTTTGATAATATATTGCCAAGTGTCCTTGCTATAAAGGACCTTGTTCAGACACTTCTTGTGGAAGGCAACAAAACTTGACCTGTTTCCCAATTGTACTTGCTTCCAGTGGAGACTGCAAGTGACTGTTTCAACACACATTATAAGTTCTGATTTACTGTTGTCACCATAAGGAAACCAGCCCTGAGAAATTCCATACAGTAATTGGAGAGCATACTTGTAGACAGGAAGTGCAAAAAAAGTGAAAACCAGTATTTTGTCTGTGGTACTTGATTCTTTAACAAATCACTTGTGTCTACTTTTAAATTGTGTGCTGATGTAACCCTTGATAGATGTAATCCCTATCTAATGTCTCATGCACTGTAAATACTTCTAAAGTATTCTGTGCTGCAATACCAAAAGTTCTTGCGAAGCTTAAACCTTAAATGTATAATAGGAGCTCTTTCCTGCCAATAAGAAAGCTGCATTAAATGTAAAATGGGAAGTTTTCATAGTAACAATGGGCCATAAACTGTGTTAGTAAAAATTCAAAAACTGTTTGAAATGGTTGGACGAGTCCCAGGTGCCACATGCCTAAAGAAAAAATATAGCTGGCACATAATTATTCTTGACTTTTAGATTTTATAGGGGATGTCCATTTACTCAGATTTTTTTTAAATTGCCTTGTATCATTATAGGTTGGACTGACTAGTTCCTACAGAGTTGTACATTTTTCTTCCCTTGCCTAAAATGCATATGTTCAATGAATTAGTTTTTGTGGGTTCCAAACATGTCGAATTAGCATTAAATGAGCCCTTTCTCCCCACACTCCCCTTTTTAAATCATTTTTATTTAAATTCTAATTTAGCTTAACTTTAGTGAAATGCCTGATCTACTTGGTTCAATGACTTGAAAAGCACTGCAGCTTTTGGATCAGTTTTACAGCCAGCCTATGTTCAAACAACTATAGGAACACTGCAGTTATTATATCTTTTACATCTGAACTGCAACACTACTGCAGCTCTTATAAATGCCTAAACTGTGTAAAACATCTTGTACTTGTTGTCACTTAAAAATTGCTTTAGAAATGGCGCACCTTCTAAGACGTGTTGGAATACTTATCTCTCCTGCTGCCCATGCCACTGCACAGATCCACTGTCTCTTCTAAAACAAACACTCCCGGATGCATTTACCTCTTGTGTCAACAGTGCTGAATGGCTCCTCCAGGTCTCTACAGGACACAGTAATAGCAGTGAGTTTGGTGGGATGAGCCATTCAGCACCACAGGATACACAGAAGATGATATTCTCTTAGTCTGTTTTAGAAGAGAATTCACTTGAGGATTACCCTGCAGAGGAGCAGTGTTTAGTGGAGGGTGGTGGTTTAATACCTCCTAGTTTGTTTTTTGTTTTTTTTTGTTATTTTGCGGGGGGGGGGGGGTGGGGGGGGGGGTTGTACTTGAAAAAGCTGAGACACATAATGGACATCAGGACATCATTTTAGCAGTTAAGTTTTGTAGTGATGTAATTAAATATTGCATTAGTATTCCTGACCTGACAAGAAATTCTGCTTAATTGTACCTTTCACTTTGCAGTTTTGACTTTTGACAAGTAGCAGATAAATTGAATAGTATTGAATAGAAATATACTAGAGACCTATGTTGCTTGTTCATGTACAGTGCTTGCAACTTGGTCTTAATTTTTCTTCTATAGATTTATAGTGTATTTAATGTTAGCAAATTGGTCATGATTGTTCAGATAAAACAGTACTGTAGTCATAGGCCTATGAAGAACATATTTATACAGTGAAGGAAATAGGTATTTGATCCCCTGCTGATTTTGAATGTTTGCCTACTTACAAAGAAATGATCAGTCTAAAAATCGAATGGTAGGTGTATTGTAACACTGAGAGAAAGAATAGCATCAAAAAATTCAAAAGAAATGCATGTCTAACAAATTATGCACTGATTTGCATGTTCATGAGATGAGATAAATAAGTATCTGATCCCCTATCATTCAGCAGGATTTCTGGCTACCAGGTGTCTTTCATACAGGTAACAAGCTGCGATTAGAAGCAGTCTCTTATAGGGAGTGCTGCTAATGTCATTGTGTTACCTGCATTAAAGACACCTGTCCACAGAAGCAATCAAACAATCAGATTCCAAACTCTCCACCATGGCAAAGACCAAAGAGCTGTTCAAGGATGTCAGGGACAAGATTGTAGACCTACACAAGGCTGGACTGGGCTACCAAACTATCGCCAAGTAGCTTGGCGAGAAGGTGACAACAGTTGGTGCAATCATTCGCAAATGGAAGAAACACAAAACAACGGTCAGTCTCCCTAGGTCTGGTGCACCATGCAAGATCTCACCTCGTGGAATTTCAGTGATCATGAGAACAGTGAGAAATAATCCCAGAACTACACGTGAGGATCTTGTCAATAATCTCCAGGCAGCTGGGACCACAGTGACCAAGAAAACAATTAGTAAAAATCCTGCAGTGCCCACAAGGTCCCTCTGCTCAAGAAAACACATGTCCAGGCCCGTTTGAAGTTTGCTACTGAACATCTGAATGATGCAGAAGAGGACTGGTTGAAAGTGTTGTGGTCAGATGAGACCAAAATCAAGCTCTTTGGCCTCAACTCGTCGTGTTTGGAGAAATGCTGTCTATGACCCCAAGAACACCATCCCAACTGTCAAACGTGGTGGAAACATTCTGCTTTGGGTGTGTTTTTCTGCGAAGGGGACAGGACAACTGCACCGGATCAAAGGGACAATGGACGGGGCAATGTACCATCAAATCTTGGGTGAGAACCTTCTTCCCTCAGCCAGGGCATTGAAAATGGGTCATGGATGGGTGTTCCAGCATGACAATGACCCAAAACACATGACCAAGGCAACAAAGGAGTGGCTCAAGAAGAAGCACATTAAGGTCCTGGAGGGGCCTAGCCAGTCTCCAGACCTTAATCCGATTGGCAACTTGAACTTTCAGTTCCCTCCACAGATTTTCAAACGTCAGCCACCAAGCCTTAATGACTTGGAGAGGAGTGGGTCAAAATCCCTCCTGAGATGTGCGCAAACCTGGTGTCCAACTACAGGAAACTTCTGACCTCTGTGATTGCCAACAAGGGATTTGCCACCAAGTACTAAGTCATGTTTTGTGAAGGGCATCAAATAATTATTCCTCTCATGAACATGCAAATCGGTGCATAATTTGTTAGACATGCATTTCTTTTGAATTTTTTGTTGCTATTCTGTCTCTGTGTTACAAATCACCTACCATTCGATTTTTAGACTGATCATTTCTTTGTGAGAGGGCAAACATTCAAGATCAGCAGGGGATCAAATACTTATTTCCTTCACTGTAATAATTTCTAGAATAGCTTAGTCTTCTCTCATCTGGCTTAAACATAAGTGAGAAAATGGCAAAGCATGCTAGAATTTTGGTGATAGACTGTGTATTCAGTCTGTCGTATTTTATATTCATTTCATATAATTGAACACACATTTTTAAATGGCAAGCAGGTCATAACAATTTTTTGTGGTTATGACCTTACTTTGAAGTAACGCCCTACTTATAAAACTTAGAAGAAATGATTTTCACTTTTTTGACTCTGGTGTCCTTTTTAGATGATGAAAGTTGTTCAAGTTTATGCAGAATCACAAGAAATTAATCTGCAGGTAAGCTTTCCAAGCTGTGCAAACTCATGAGACATCTGTGCATAACCCCAGGTGAATTGTTTTTTTTTTGTTCCTCCCCAACAGAATGACTCTGAAGTGGCTCAAGCAGGAAAGGCTGTTGCATTATACTTTGAGGATAAACTTCCAGAAATCTACCCTGACAGGACCTTCCCACCATTGCCAGACTTTGAACCAGAGGAGGAGGATGATGGGGAAATAACTGAGGATTCAGATGATGATTTTGTACAGCCTCGGAGGAAACGTCTAAAGTCAGATGAGAAGCCAGTGCATATAAAATGATTTCAATGCTCTGGACTTTATAATTTCTGTAGAATATGTGGACTTTTAAGAAAAACTTATTTAAGTGTTCCTGGAATATCTTCTCGCCTGCACCAGCCACCTTCAAGGAGAAGCTGGCAGCTTTTAGACAGTATTAGACCAACTGATGTTTGTACAGAAGAGATGAACATTCTTTTAAAGAAGACGGATGGAGGAGACTTGTAGTCACTTTGTTTAGTTTTTTTTTTTTTTTTTTTTCTTCTGTTTTTTAATTTTTTTTTATTTGATGCTTGATGGGCTCTGTCACAAGGAAACAGCCCTGCGTAATCTCAGTTAGGTTTTGTGAATTGTCGAGGACAATTTTTTTTTGGTTTGGTATTCTCACCCTGTTTGTACAGATCTCTAACTGGACTTGGTGGATGTTGTTGCTTGTTAATATATTTTCTTGAAGATTGGACCAGTACATGCGATTTACTGTAACACTTTCTCCTCTCTCCATCGGGCTGCTTTATAGCTTGACTTCTGGAACAACAAATATGATGGTACAGGTTTAAGTGTGCTCATTAAATGGTTAACTATTAATATAATGGTTAACCATTTGATCATTCTCCATTTCCATATTTTTTCAATGTCTTGAGTGGTTAGCTGTGTGGGTTATCCTTCAAGATTCTGATATATAGATATATATTTTGTGAAGGAAGCAGTTTAACTTGGATCATAAGAACATTAACTTTTGCTATGTATATATGAGGAAGCATATAAGTGTCCATCCATATTGCATTATTTCAGGCAACAGATTGTCAACCTTTGCTGTTGTCTTGCATCCAAGACAATGAAAAAAAAATAAATGAAAATACTGATTAAATATTCTTGATTTTTCATAATTTAACATCGTTTTGAGTGGTAGATGGAAGCTGTTAGTACATTTTGAGAGAAAACACAATGACTGTCTTCCTAAAGTTTTTTAAATTTAGTTTAACAAATGTATAATTTTGCTATGCTCACTGTCTTATTTGTACATAAAGCCTGTCCCAAGACGGCAACCTTTCCAGATTTGTTTTCCTAATGGAGTGTGTTCCTATGGATGTTGTTTTGTGTTTGTTTGTTTTTTCTTTCTTTTCTTTTGATGCAGCACTTACTATTTGCAAAACCTAATGAAACCACTTAATAGTGAAATGTCTGCTAGAAGAAACCCAATAAATCCAGTTAAAGTTTTAAGAAAACTGCACTTATGCCCTCCTTTCCCTTTTGATAATTTAGTTCTACTTCTGTTGTTGCAGTTCAGACCCTAAGAACATTTGAAATTGAGATCAAGCCAAAAATATTGTTACATCTTCTTTTCCTCCCCACCATAATATAAAAAAACAGTGCAGAATATTTATCAAGGTGCTATGAAAGATTCACATTCTCTGATTTACTAAGTAATGGAATGTGTAGACAGGTAGAAGTCTGTTTTAAAATTGGGTTATTTCATAACAATGAATAAATAGATAAGGTTGAAAAGTCTAGAAATAGTCAATAGCAAAGTCAAATTACATCACTTTAATCATATAGTACAGGACACAAGATAGATACACAAGATGTTTGTTATAGGCTGGTACCTTCAGGTGAATGGACCCTGGCAAAGCATTTTGAGGACATGTGCCCCAGGGCATCACACTATAACCCTACCTCACTACATGAGTCCTCCTTTTTTTTTTCTTTCTTTTTTTTTTTGTCCTAAGGTGACAAATCTCTTCTTCCTTTCAAAGAAATCAATCTTAGCTTAGTTAATCTTGCTTCGGTTCCTCAATCAACCATTCAATCAATACTTAACTGTCTTCTAATGCTGTTATAGAAGCAGTGCAACCTCTGTAAAACATTGGGAGTTGTTCCTAGACTCTACACTGTATGCAGGGCCTTTAATGTTGTTTCGGGCACTGGATCTTAGGTTCTCTCCCCGGCACTTATTGCAATGCATATAGCTACCAGCAGGTTGCTCTCCAGGTCCAAGGCTATGATCAATTTCTATGAAACCCAGACTTTGAAGATCCTTTCCAGGGGGTACTGTGACATGTGAAGCCTGGACCCTATATAGGGCCCAGAGATCTAGACTGGTAAGACAGGTTCACCATATTTATTGGACATTAAAGTACCTCTACAGCAGATGTGTTATAATATCTCCCTTAATTTTTACTACTTGTGTATCCTGAATATTATGCAGAAAGCATTATCAGGAAACCTGGAATGTGTACTTAACTATTCACTTGGGGTTTAAGCTTCAAGCTTGGCGCTAAAATTCCAAGACTTAGAACATAGTCCCAAGTGGATGATCAGGTGTTACATAACACCACAGGTTGCAAAGTTTACTGCCACTTTCTGCAGAACACACACATTTTAACACTGTTCTTTGCATCAGTTTCCAGCTCTATCTCAGACACGCAACAGGTGGCCTACCTTACTAAAGAAGAATTTTCTGCAACCATGTCACAATTTCTTGGACAACTAATGGCTTACTACAGCCATCACTTTCTAGAGATCTAAAATGCAGGCTCCTTCTCTCCTACTGTCTTTACTGTAATTAGAAAGTTCTGCGTCTCCTCGAGAGGATGCAGACATTGGGGGGGATTCAGAGGACCCAGTGGCAATTGTTAAAGGAGGCGGTAGGTTTCTCACCCACTAGGCTCCTACACATCTGATGTTAAGGTTTCCTGTAATATGCTTGTAACACTGCTCAAAAAAATTAAAGGAACACTTTGAAAACACATCAGATCTCGGAACAATATGCTGGTTAACTATACTGATATGGCCTGGGTAATGTTAGGAACATAAGGATGCCCCATTGTATCAAACATATGAAATGAAAATTATTAATCTACAGAGGACTGAATTCAAAGACACCCCGAAAAAGTGAAAATATGATGTAGCAGGCTAGCCCATTTTGCTGAAATTTTCATTGCAGCAACTCAAAATGGTACTCAGTAATTTTCATGGCCCCCACGTGCTTGTATCCATGCCTGACAACATCGGGCCATGCTCCTAATGAGACGATAGATGGTGTCCTGGGGTATTTCCTCCCAAATCCTGGACCAGGACATCACTGAGCTCCTGGATAGCCTGAGGGGCAACCTGGCGGCGGCGGCGGATGGACCATAACATGATATCTCAGAGGTGTTCTATTGGACTTGGGCCAGGTGAACGTGATGGCCATTCAATGGTATCAATTCCTTCATTCTCCAGGAACTGCCTGCATACTCTCACCACATGAGGCCGGGCATTGTTGTGCACCAGGAGGAACCCAGGACCCACTGCACCAGTGGTAGGGTCTGACAATGGGTCCAAGGATTTCATCCCGATACCTAATGGCAGTCAGGTTGCCATTGTCTACCCTGTAGAGGTATGTGTGTCCCTCCATGGATATGCCTTCTCAGATCATCACTGACCCACCACCGGAACAGTCACGCTGAAAGATGTTACAGGCAGCATAACATTCTCCACGGCTTCTCCAGACCCTTTCACGTCTGTCACATGTGCTCAGGGTGAACCTGCTCTCATCTGTGAAAAGCACAGGGCGCCAGTGGCAGACCTGCCAATTCTGGTTTTAAATGGCAAATGCCAGTCGAGCACAGAGCCCAGTAGCGAACGTCGGGCCCTCAGGCCACCCTCATGGAAGTCCGTTTCTGATTGTTTGGTCAGAGACATTCATACTAGTACCCTTCTGGAGGTCATTTTGTAGGGCTCTGTCAGTGCTCATCCTGTTCCTACTTGCACAAAGGAGCAGATACGGATCCTGCTGATGGGTTAAGGACCTTCTACAGCCCTTTCCAGCATTCCTAGAGTAACTGCCTGTCTCCGGGAATCTTCTCCATGCTCTTGGGACACTGCTGGGAGATTCAGCAAACCTGGCATTGGCACATATTGATGTGCCATCCTGGAGGTGTTGGACTGCCTGTGCAACCTCTGTAGGGTCCAGGTATTGCCTCGTGCTACCAGTAGCGACACTAACCCTAGCCAAATGCAAAACTAGTGAAAACCAGTCAGAAAAGATGAGTAGGGAAAAAGTCATTGGTCTCCTCCTGTAAAACCATTCCTGTTTTGGGGGTTGTCTCATTGTTGCCCATCTAGTGCACCTGTTAATTTCATTAACACCAAAGCAGCTGAAACTGATTAGTAATCTCCTCTGCTACTTAACTGTCCAGATCAATATCCCAGGAGTTTAATTGACTTGATGCTATATGAATAAAAAGTGTTCCTTTTTTTGAGCAGTTTATTTGCTCACTCCTGCTGTGTGCATTGTTACACTTGATTCTCACCATGCTCGTTTGGGTACTTAGAGACCGGCTAAGTCTAAAAAGACATTTCTCTATCCAGTTGAATATGTTCCCAAAAAAGTGGACTGTGCTGGTAGTTGACCCTGCCACCTAATGTAAACCTAACATTTCATATACCTGATATGTGCCTGCTGTACCATGTTCTTTGTATTTCTTCCTTTGCGTGAAATCCCTGGTGTTCCTGCCAGTCCTTCTGCTTTCCTATTAAAAACTGACCACACTAAGCAGGGAGAACACAGCGTTGTCAATTCTCTATCTATGCTGGGAACTTAGCCTGCTCTCCTCGAATGATCGGAATTATATTGACACACCCCTCTGCACGGCCTTTCACAGGGAAGGTCAGTAAGCTGCTGCTGCTTCTTCAGCAGCTCTGTTCTCAGCTGCATAAGGAGCTTAGAAGGGTATGTGATCATTTATAAAACAAGAAAAAGGAATTTATGATGGTTTTTATATCTCTACACAACTGTTTTGGCTTTTATTTCTTTTTTTAAACTTAATTGTTTTAAAAGGTGAGGGTTTACAATCTCTTTAAGCCTCTCGCTGTACCTATGGAAGATGTTCCTTCTTTCAAGTTTGAGGTGCTCTTAAGAGCTTTTTACTCCTGCAAGCCCAGCTCTCCAACCAGCTATTTCTGCAATTTCAGTTTGTTCATTGCCCTAGTCTAGTTATCTGCACTTTAACAGGATCCTGTGTACCAGGACCCTACTTTGC